CTCTCTCTCTCTCTCTCTCTCTCTCTCTCTCTCTCTCTCTCTCCCCCCTAGAAATAAATAAAACATTAAAAAATTTTTTAAAAAATGTTTACGTGTTCTTATTCTTTGACCAAATTAAATCTCAGAAATCTAGTTTAAGACCAATATCTTGAAATGTGGGAAAAGGTCTTTTGAACAAAGTTGTATCTGAGCATTCGACTTGAAAGCAAAAATTAAAAATTATTTCCATATCCATACTAAACTTGAATTTGGTAATTAAAAAACAGACCATTTAAAGACTATTGTGTACAGCCATTTAAAATTAGACTCACCTAGGGGCGCCTGGGTGGCTTAGTCGGTTAAGCGTCCTACTTTTGCTTAGGTCATGATCTCGCGGTTTATGGGTTCGAGCCCCGCATCGGGCTCTGTGCTGACTGCCAGCTCAGAGCCTGGAGCCTGTTTCAGTCTGTGACTCCCTCTCTCTCTGACCCTCCCCTGCTCACACTCTCTTTCTATCTCTCCTAGAAATAAAAAAAATTTAAAAAATTAAAAAATAAAATAAAATAAAATTAGACTCACCTAAAAAAATAAAATGACTTAGTTATTTTTTATTAATAACATGGAGAAATTTTTAAGTCACGTGGGAAAGAAAGGTACTGCAGTCTGTATATGGAATAAAAACAATTTCCTTTATTTCCACTGTTATATAAACAACATGTTGCTTTTATAATTAGAAAATAAATTTGACAAACTCAATTTAAATAGGGCCCATTTAAAGACACCCCTCTACCCTCCCTCCCCCCGTATAAACCATGAAGCCCACCCATGTGGAGAAATTTTCATTAGATGTGCAATTTCACTACCTTTTCCTCACAGACATTCATAATACAATACATCCCCCCAATCACAAATTTGGTAGTTTTTGTTGAGAATTATGAAGTCAACTAAACATCTTAACTTGGACTTCTGTTTTTGTTTATATAATGGTGATACATTAATTTAAAAGAAAAAGCATTTATGTCTTCCTAAGAACCCATCTGCTCCTGACTTAGGAGAATGTGTGCATTGTGCTTTTGCTGCAAAGGGAAGGATGGTCTGAGGGTCCTTTTGTTCATGTTGTTCTGACAGGTGGACCCAGGTGAACCAAGATCTTGCAGAGCAGTTGCAGAAGGCCCAGAGTCTGCTCCAGCTCTGGAAGGCCCATGACAGCGCTCACACCGAAGCCGCAGCAAGGCTGAAGCAGCAGGAAGCCAAGTACCAACAGCTTGAAAACATCAACATGTCTGGAAACAACTTGGCAGAGATCCTGACCCCAGCCCTGCAGGATGTAAAGGTGGTTGCAGAGCCCGTTGGGAAAACCAAGGCCAAGACAGCCCAACAGAGAGGGCCGTGATGCCGGGACTAGACCGGCCACAGGGACAAAGAAGTGGGTCAGGACTGGTGTATAAGGAGGCCATGTAGGACGTGAACATGCGTGTGGCGAGCAGGGCTGGGAGGGCCAGGTGGTGGCTCAGAAGTGAAGTGTAGGCGACAGGTAGCTGGATCAGGGGTACCTCATTCCAAGTTTCCCCTTTCATTTTAGCAGGTAAATCTCTAAAGCAAAAGCCTCCTATGAGGTCTCAAATAAAGGCAGAAGTATCTCAGCTGAGTGTGATGATCTAAGAAAAATAGATGTTGAATCCCTTGCCTTAGAAATAATCATGGGCTCATGCCATGTTAATATGGCTTTTCTATGAGTATAATGATTTTTAGACTATATTTAAGAGTTGTGTGATTTCGTCTGTCATCTTGTCCTATTATAATGAGTGCCCAGAAAGTGAATACTCTCTAGTTTTAAACGGGATGACCAGATACATTGTGTTACCCTCTGAATCCAAAGGTCAAATAAAAAAATATTAATCAGCTTACTGCAACAGATGTGATCTGTATTTCTCATCAACTTCTACCTGATTTGTTGTTTAAACAAACAAATTTCACACACACAGCATTTATAGAGTAGCCCTAAAACCAGCTTGATTAACGAGATTCTACAGTCTCTGCAAATGAATCCACTTATGTCATAAAGTCTCAGAGGACCGAGTTGCATTGATTCTTAAAATGGCCCTAAAGTGGATCCCTATAGTGTCTGATGATTAGAAACATAAAACCTAGGACTTTACCCAGGTGGTCTTCAGTTTCTGTGCACTGGAAGCCCCAACTCTGGTGATTAGTTGTCAGTTTTAGCTCAGAACTGGCATACTTCGGAAGAGCGCCGGTGATGTGCATCCTAAAACAAAAGCTTAGCTTTTTCAGGTCTCTGAAGTAAACTAATAAAAAGCCACGCCTACAATTTTAGGGCAGAAATTCTCCTAGATGTTGATGGAGTCACAGGGATGGGAATTTCTGTTGTGATAGGAGGAGGAAATGTTTTCTGATGCCCGTTTCTTCTCCAGGAACTGCAGGATGATGTACAGAAGACAAAAGAAGCCTTTCTCCAGAATTCCGCTCTCCTGGATCGACTTGCGCAGCTCACGGAGTCCAGTACCCACGTGCCCTTCTCCACACAACAGCACTCCCTCCAGAGGGCTTCCTACTTGGAAAACATGTTGCTTGTGAAAGCTAATGAATTTGAGGTTCATGTCCTTTTTCTATTCAAGTCGTAGTCTTGGACATTTGCAGGCTCCCCTCAATTCCTTATATCTGATGAAGTAATAGTTATTAATACTTTATGGACTGCTCCCCAGGGAAACCACACAATCAAGATGCCCTGAATATAAAGACTTACTGATGTGACTGTTCAACTACATGAGCAGTGGACAGATCTGAAGCAAACATCTCTTCTTCATTGAACATGTTAGTTTAAGAAGTGAGATGCTCTATTCCTTACAGTGTTCAGATCTCACAGTTATTTGGATCTTCAAGTGGGGTACTTGAGTCATAGAAGTAGCTGCTTAAGCCATAGCCATTTGTTGTATTCTTTATTCATTTTTTGAAAAGCCTTTAGTGCATGAGCTGTCAAAAGGCTGCATAGAAGGCCGTGGAGCTCCAGTGTCCCTTCTCGTTATCAATAGCAAGACTGAGGAAGCAGAGTACTCACTAACCCTTCTCTATATGCCCCCTGCAGCAGGTGATCTATCCAACCCTAAAGGCCCAGTGCTTTGCCAGAGGCACAGAGTAAAACAAGGAGTCTTCTGAATAGTCAAGATAATAATGAGCTGCTGGGGGTTGAAAACACCTTGAGCTTTTATCAGCTTACCGGACTATGCTTAACTTTGTTCTATATGCACATGAAAGTTGTTTCTAATGAAAATTTCTCTTGTTCTAGTTTGTCCTTTCACAGTTCAAGGATTTTGGGGAATGGTTGGAATCTTTAAAAGGTCTCATTACACATGAAGAAGAGCATTTGGAAAAACTCTGCCATCAAGAAAAAGAAGAAAATCCTGACTTATTCCTGGTATTGCCAATGTTTGTGTTTCCTTAGGGCTTAGACTCACCATAGGATAAAAAAATAAGCTAATAACTACTGAGTTACAGAATCTCTTTATGTCTTCACTCCTGATGATGGTCATTTAAAAAAAAAAGTTTATGTATTTTGAGAGAGAGAAAGTGCAGGCGGCAGAGGCCAAGAGAGAGGGGGAGAGAATCTCAAGCCGGCTCCACACTCCCAGTGGAGAGCCTTATGCCTCCGGAGCTCGAATCCATTAACTATGAGATCATGACCTGAGCCAAAATCAAGAGGTGGACGCTTAACTGACTGAGCCACCCAGGTGCCCCTTGAGCATGGTCATTTATATACCGTTCATTCTTTTTCTATTATATTTTTTTATTTTTTTAAATAGTTTATAGTCAAGTTGGTTTCCATATAACACCCAGTGCTCATCCCAGCAAGTGCCCTCCTCCATGCCCATCACCCCCTTCCCCTCCCCCCACCCCCATCAGCCCTCAGTTTGTTCTCAGCATTCAAGAGTCTCTCATGGTTTGCCTCCCTCCCTCTCCCCAACTATTTTCCCCTTTTTCTCCACCATGGTCCTCTGTTAGGTTCCTCCTAATCCACCTATACGTGCAAACATGGCTTCTGTCCTGCTCTGCCTGACTTATTTCACTCATCATAACACCCTCAAGTTCCATCCATGTTGCTACAAGTGGCCAGATTTCATTCTTTCTCATTTATGCCGTTCATTCTTTCCTTATTTTCCCTAAAGTCTAGAAAAGTATGACAACACAGAGCTCTATTTTAGTAATATGCCACAGTAAATTAGTAGATTTAAAAGTTTTTGACATCTTTACTAATTAGCTTCAGTGAACTAGAAATCTAGGCATTGGCTGTTGTGATTAATTGAATTTTTCTGGCTAGCTGAAGATCAAAAATAAAATATCCTGTTACATTCTTTATCTTTTCTTTCTTTATTACCTTGGTAAGTGTAGGGTCGGTAACAAAAATGAATGGAAGAATTAAAGAATTCTGGATCCTACAGACTCCTAAGGACTGATCATCATAACCTAGATCAAGAGTCAGCCAAGTATAGCACACTATCTAAATCCCATCTTCCACAAGTTTGTATAAAGTGTTATTGACACACAGTCATGCCCTTCCATTTATTGTCTGTAGAATTTTCATGCTGCAGGGTCAGATGTGAATAATTATGACAGAGATCATATGGCCCATAAAAGCTAAATTATTCATGATCTAGCTCTTTACAGAAAAAGTTTGCTGACCCTGAACTAGATAGCAGAGTTCTGTAGTGATAACATGGATATTGTCAAGGATGTTTGCTTATAATACCATTGACCTAGATGCTGTCCCTAGAATATTTTAAAAATAGAATTTTGATGAGGTTTCTTTCACATGATTTCATTGTCTTTCAAAATGTGGATGTTTAAGTACCATGTTTTGCTAGGGTTATTTTAAGGACTAGATTTTTATTGCCTTTGTAGGTAAACTGCATAGTCTGTTGAAGGATAAGTTGTTAGCAAAATATGTGGGACTTTTGCAGTCCAAAATGGGTCCTTTAAAAAAAAAAAAAAAGACTAGACTCATTTCTTATTTCCTCTTCCTTAAAGGCAAAATCTGAGATCATTTTTTATTTCCCAGGCCATTTCTGTGCTGACCATGTGTGCACTTGTTCTAGAAAAGTCGCTGGATTGGGAGACTAGGGTTTAGGTCCAACTCTAATACTAACTGGCTGTTTGATTGTGGGCAAGTCACCTACCTATTTAGGTCCCAGTTTTCCCTCATTTTTGAGATAAAGATGATCTCCAGGATCTCTGAGTCCTTTTCATCATCGAGATACCGTATTGGCCTCCAGAAACCTGAAATTTAATTTGTTTTAATAGAACCGTGTGCTGGCACTGACAGCCCAATCACCTGATGTTGAACATTTGAATGAAGTAAGCCTCAAGCTCCCTCTTAGTGACATAGCAATAAAGACGTTACAAAATATGAACCGACAGTGGATTCGGGCCACAGCCACAGCCCTTGAACGATGCAGGTCAGAACATCACATCTATATCGTTCTGTTTCAGTGAAGCTAAAATTATCGACTTGAGCTGAGTAATGTCGTTATTTTATGGTTCTGTTTTGTCTGTTTATAAACCTTTATAGTGAGCTTCAGGCAACTAGATTGAATGAAAAGTTTCTTTATTGCTGTGACAAATGGGTCCAGCTTCTAGAGAAGATAGAAGAGACGCTCAAAGTGACCGTGGCTGACGGCCTCCCGGCTCTCCTGGAACAGCAGAAAACATATGAGGTAAACCTGAGCTCTCCGCTGATTTGTGCCCTCACCCTAGGGTGGGAGTCGGGGAAAGATACTCATTGCACTCTATTTAAATCTATCAGTCCCTAAAAACCAAATATAGGTCCTTAAGCAGATTCATTTGCCAACTGATTATTTGTAAAATTCTCACACATTTCATAAATTTCAATATTTTGTTTCAGCGCTCTATTTTATTAACAAGAGAACTAGATTTTCTGCGGTAGGGGAAACTTCTAGCACAACTTTGCTTCCATAGAATGCAAACATTCCAAGAGCAGGCTAAGATACTTAAACTCATCTTTGCATGGTCACTGAGTAATTCTCTAAAATATTGAAACACCTGGAATGATTATAATTGCAGCCTTAATAATCTGACAGAGGTTATTCCCCGTGCTTACACTGATATACATTCGGAAGTACTCTTGACAGTTAGAGGCAGACGCTGCGTTTGGAAAGTGTGCCTGATTAGGTCGTTGTAATTTTTAATGTAACTGATTTAAGTCTTCATTGTTACATTAAGGTCCTCCAATGAAAATGAAGTTCATTGAACCAAAAAAACAAACAAACAAACCCCTGAATGACCTTGATTACATTACCAAACCTCTTTTCCATCTTAGTTTTCTTAAGTGGGTATAATAGTACTCAAGTCTGAAGGTTGAGGAATAAGTGAGACAATGTATGTTTTACTCAGTACCTCACAGTTAGTGAATGTCCAATAAATGGGCTTTAGGTGTCCGTGTTATTAGGCCTGTTTGCTTCTGAGATTATATTCATAGGTGATGGTGATGTGATGGTTGAGTATTTTTTGCAATTAGGCCCAAACAATTTGAAAATTAATCATCTCCCAGGTCCTCTTTGAGCTTAGATTTTAATAGGAAATATAAGCTCCGGGTTCATAAAAAGAATCTTCTAGCTAGTGTTTTCTATTTTAACTCACATGCAGATGTTAGAAGCTGAAGTCTCTATAAACCAGACAGTGGCTGATTCCTATATAACCCAGTCCTTACAGCTCTTGGACACAGCAGAAATAGAGAAGAGGTAAGCTGTCTGGGGCCTCTGATGGGTGTGTGTGTGTGTGTGTGTGTGTGTGTGTGTGTGTAAGGTAACACAGTTAGAACTGGCCTCCCACCACGTGAATCTTGACCACTTCAGTCTTTACAGCTCTTGGACACAGCAGAAATAGAGAAGAGGTAAGCTGTCTGGGGCCTCTGATGGGTGGGTGGGTGTGTGTGGGTGTGTGGGTGTGTGTGTGTGTAAGGTAACACAGTTAGAACTGTGAATCTTGACCACTTCAGTCAAGTGCATGATCCACAGCCATGTCAGCTGGTAGACATCATGAGGCCAGTCTTCTGACTGTTTATTAGGATGGGGACTTGGTACGTGGCCAAGCTACGTGCTGCGCACTTTCATGTATGATAGAAGGGTGGCATTAGCAAACATTAGATTAGTGCTTTGCGAATACCCCCTTACAAAGTGGAGTTAACTGTTTTTACTGCAAAGGATTCTTCTATAGTGTTTTCCTCTTTATATTCAGCCTTATGACATTTGCTATTTTAAAAATAATTTTGGGGGCACCTAGGTGCTCAGTGGTGCTCTTGAGTTTGGCTCAGGTCATGATCTCACGGTCATGAGATTGAGCCCCACGTTAGGCTCCATGCTGGGTGTGGAGCCTCCCTAAGATTTTCTCCTCCTCCCTCTGCCCCTCCCCTTCTCCCTTCCCCCCCCCTAAAAAATAACAATAATAATTCTTAAAGTGCTGCTGTTCCCAGCAGGTAGCTATAGCACATGGTTGTGAAAGAAGGGATTTCTGTCTATGCTATGTACATGGTTTTGGTGTCACTGGGCAGTGCCAGACAGGCTGAGAAGAGCCCCTTATGCCAGCCTGGTGTCATGAGCCTGTGCACACAGCTCATGTACACATGACAGACAGAGTCCTGAGGTGGCCTCGCCTCTTAAATGCTTCTTTAAGCGTCCTGATAGGTATTGCTTTTCCTCCCCATCAACACCCATATACCTGAATTTTCTTTGAGCATATCTAAGAAATACAAAGTCCATTTCTTCCTAGCTCTGAAATTATAAATTCAGCCCCATTCCACGATGATAAAGTAGATTTGATCAGTACAGCAAAGCATGACTTTTCCTATAATAAATAAAAGGCCTTACTTACCATGTAGTGGGTATTATTTATCCAGAAAAGAACTAGTTGAGTCATTGCAAAAAGAATTTTCCTTAGTACTGAAATTTTCTAAAGTACAGGGTGCAAGAAACCACGAACTTTACACGGTACTTATTCCTCCTTCCCCATGGAGCCAATATTCAGTTTTCCGTACAGCATTTGGAATAATGTAAAGGATCCAGTTGGTCCATGCTGGCAAAATATCAGGTCACATGCAAATATCTCCTGCAAAACGCCTTTTGCCAACACACGCTGCCCCTGCCCCTAAATTTCCCAACATCTTCAAGTTGAATGGTACTCAGATTTGAAAAAGGTTTTTTCTCCCCTGTAAATTACGCACATAAACAGGAAATCTGAGTTTCAGTGATGCCTTGGTAGTTATTTTTTCTATATGTCAGTGACAAGGATCTCTAACCATTTGTTTTTCCCAAGACTGGAATTTGTCTCAAAGTTCACAAAACTGAAGGAGCGGTGGCAGAGTGCTGCCCAGAGTGTCCGGCAGAGGAAGAGCCACATCGATGGGCTGGTGGGACAATGGCGGTACTTCACCACCTCCGTGGAGGACTTGCTCCGCTTCCTCACCAACACCGGCCACCTGCTGTCTGCAGTGAAGAGCCAGGATTGCCACAGCCTCCACCAAATCAGAAGGCTGATCCGTGAGCTGAAGGTAATGCCTACACAGTAGCAGTGTGAGGACAGCAGTGCGGTCGTTATTTGGAAGATGTGCACTCACTTCAAGTTTTGTGTTTTTACATATATCGTGATTCAGATGTGCTCCCTGTACTGGGAAGACCAGCTAGGCAGGGTCACCATGGCCCTCTCCAGCCTTGTCCCCAGCCTTGTGGTGTCAGAAAGCCAGTCTTATTCATTCATCCAGAAATAGTGAGGCTCTCTTGGGCTGTGGGAGCAGGGATGGTGTGGAGATGGGTGGGTAGAGTGGGGCAAGTCTAAGTGACAGACTCCTTCCACCCAAGCTCTTAAGGCACTGACTGATGAATAACTTGACCACCAGCATTGTAATTTATGGTAGAACCCTTGCTTACTCTTAAAGGGCAAGTTCATTTAGGCAACCGAGATTTTTTTTTTTTTTTTTTCTATTTTAGTTCCAGTGTAGTTAATAGGTAGTGTTATATTAGTTTCAGTGTATGCTGGAGTGACTCAACAACTCCACATATTACTCAACGCTCTTCAAGATAAGTGTGTTCTTTGGCAACAAACTTTTTAGTCAGAGAGTTGCTTAATGAGCATAGGTTTAGAGTAATTAGTTAGCAATCCCCCAAACATGTTCCATTTAGCTATAGAACCACTCTTCACTTTAGAAGCACAGCTAAATGAAACACCACCCTTTGGAAATCCCATACTCTCTTCATTCATTTACCCAGTCTTCAGATACCAGTTGAATATCTGCTCTGTGCCAGTCACTGTTTTAAATGCCGGGCATGTGGTGTGTACAAAGAGAAAAGCCTTGCTGGCTGGCAGGCAGGCAGACAAATTAATAAACAAGGAAATACTAATTGGTCTGATTGGTGGGGGGAAGTCAGACAAATCAGTAAGTGAACAAGAAAATATCAGATTGCAGTAAGGCATACATAGACAAAACAGGATGAATAATGAAGGGGCTTTTGGCTACTTTCAATTGAGTCATCTCTGGGAACATGACGTTTAAGCTGGAACCTGAATGATGGGAAGGAGCCAGCCGTTTAAACGTCTGGGGAAGGAACCTTTCAGATAGAAGGAATGTCTTACCCAAAGTCCACAAGATGGGAACAAACTTCACAAAACAGAGGAACAGAAAGAAAGCTAGTGTGCGTGGAGTATAACCAGTAAGGCAGAAGTGTTAGGGAATGAATTTGAGAGGCAAGGGGGAGGAGCACTGTGTAGGTGAGATGTGGTAGCCAGATTATAGTCTTGCTGTAATCAGAAGCCTTTGAAGACCTTCATTTGGAAGGGGGGAAGCATGATACCATTTGTGTTGTTTTTGTGTTGTTTTATTAATGCAGTCTCCACACCCAGCATGGAGCCCAACACAGGGATTGAACTCACAACTGTGAGATCAAGACCTGAGATCAAGAGTTGGATGCTTAACCTACTGAGCCCAACACAGGCATTGAACTCATAACTGTGAGATCAAGACCTAAGATCAAGAGTAGGATCAACCTACTGAGGTTAAGCACTCTGATACCATTTGTATTTTTTAAAGCTCCTCCAGCTGCTCTGAGGGAGGATAGATCATAAGGGAGCCAAAGGAAAGGCAGGAATCCCAGCATGTTGCTTATATCTTGCTGCATAACAACAATCATTGCTTATTAGCTCTTGTGGTTCTTGCTTAGGGTCTCTCAGGAAATTCCAGTCAGGTGGTGGTAGGGGCTCACTCACTTTCATGTCTAGCACTTAAGCTGGAAAGACTCAGACAGCATCATTCTCTGTGGTCTCTTCACATGGAGGCTTCTGGTAGCCAGACTTTTTTTTTTTTTCTTTTTGAAAAGCACCAGAAGTCTGATGGGATCCTTGCGTTGTTGGTTTTTTGTGTGTTTTGTTTGTTTGTTTGTTTGTTTACAGATAGTTTATTGTCAAGTTGGTTAGCCAGACTTTTTACATGGCAGCTCAGTGGCACAAAAGTGCATGTCCCAAGAAAAAGAAATCCAAGGAGAAGCTGTACTGCCTTCTAGACCTAGGCTCAGAAGTCACACAAGTCACTTCTGCCATCCTCTGTTAATCAGGGCCATCACGGGCGCCTGGGTGGCTTAGTCGGTTAAGCGTCCGACTTTCGCTTGGGTCATGATCTCGCGGTTCATGGGTTCGAGCCCCACGTCGGGCTCTGTGCTGACTGCCAGCTCAGAGCCTGGAGCCTGTTTCAGAGTCTGTGACTCCCTCTCTCTCTGACCCTCCCCTGCTCACGCTGTCTCTCTCTCTCTCTCTCTCTCTCTCTCTCTCTCTCTCTCCTAGAAATAAATAAAAATTAAAAAAAAATTAAAAAAAAATCAGGGCCATCACACACACTCACACAGAATTAACAGAAGGGGACAGAGACACCACTGCTTGATGGGGAGTGACGGCATGGTTCTGGAAGAGCGTGTAGGACTAGGAATATTGTGGGCACCTTGTGAGAACTGCAGTCTCCTGGAACCAGGTAGAAGGCCGTTTCTAGTCTTGGATAGACTATATGATAGATAAGAAAAAGGTGAGTGTAGTGAAGATTTTAAAAAGGCTATGTTTGTAAGAGTTTACAAGACTTCCGGTTTGGATGTGGCAGGTTAATAAAAATCTAAATCAAGATGACTCTAGGGTTTTGGCTTGAGCATCCTGGTAGATAGTGTGCTGTTGACCAAGTCAGGGAAAATTGGAGAAGCAGATCTTTTGAGAAGCTTAAAATGACTAATCGATGTCTATCTATTTAGCCACGTCGAGCAATACCATACATTGGAAAGAAAGAAGAGTGTGAAGTGCCAGTACACACATTGAGTTGTGGTTCCTCTTCTTTGTGTCTGTTCCCGAGAGGACAGTCTGCTTCCCTACTTTGTATTGGGTTATATCAAGATTCTCAGAAATACCTTTGTAAATCAATACCTTGTTGATTTTTTTTTTTAAACATCAGTTCCCATTTGAAAAATTGCCTACATTATATCTCCCTTGAGAAATTTGAAGATGAAGGAAATCCTATTTAGAACAGAAAAAATAATTTTTTTTTTCCCTGAAACCAAATGCTTTTGGGAGTATGAGTCAACTTAAAAGTGTTTATTTTTATAGTGTAAATAGGTAATTTGAGTCCCATTAAAGAAGAGCCTGGAGGAGCCTGGGTGGCTCAGTTGGTTGAGCATCCAACTCTTGATTTCGGCTCAGGTCATGATCCCACAGCCATGGGATCGAGCCCTGTGTGGGGCTCCGTGCTGAGTGTGGAGCCTACTTAGGATTCTCTCCCTCTCCCTCTCCCTCTCCCTCTCCCTCTCCCTCTCCCTCTCCCTCTCCCTCCCTCCCTCCCTCCCTCCTTCCCTCCTTCCCTCCTTCTCCCTCCTTCTCCCTCTCTCCCTCTCCTTCTCCCTCTCTCCCTCCTTCCCTCCCTCCCTCTGCCCTTCTCCCCTGTTTTCACTCTCTTAAAAGAAAACAAAACAAAAAGAGCCTGCATGATACTCAAATGGAATGTCATATAGCTGTCCCTTTAGAGCCTATGTTGATGCATATGTTTAAGTGCCCATAATAAGTTTAAGTGTACATTTTTTTGTATTTTGCCTTTTTTATTTGTTCTCTCCTTTTATATCTGTTTAGCACAATGTGCACATTTTACTCTCATGAGTTAAGAGTAAGCTGACTCTTCTATCATGATCATAATGGGTATTTGCTCTTAATTTCAGGTCTAATATTCCAGTCATTTTCTTAATACTCATAGATCCATTTATCTTGGAGCCTCTTGTTCTTTGAAGTATATTTTTTTATTTCTTTATGTGTCTGATCATTACACCAAGAATGTTATCTCTTAACAACCATTGGAAATTATTTTAAGAACACATTATTTGGTGTAGTATGCAGTAGTATAAAACATAGCCTTAGATGTGACTGTGTGTGTGGGAGGGGGGGTGTTCATACTTTCTAACCAGAGTTGTCTAATTTACATATAATTTAACATTTATTTTTAGGAAAAGCTCTGAAGGAAATGTTCACAAACACATACAATCACGATTTGATAATATCAGAGGCTTAAGGAAATTGCTTTTTTTGTGTTTTGGCTTTTTAGAGTAAAGAAATTCATTTCGAGAGACGGCACACCACCTATGCACTAACCGTGGGAACTGGGGAGACGTTACTGAACACGGCTAACCTGGAAACAAAAGAGGTGATTGACAAGAAAATCAGTCAACTCCGGGACGACTGGAAAGACACAAAGCTCCACGTAGGAGAGATGATTAACCAGCTGCAGAGCACTAGAGAGGTAAACTCACTTTCCATGATATTCAAATGCGATACGTAGAATTTTTGTTTGCTGTGCAAAAATGGGAACGATTTGAGGAAATCACAATATTGTAAATTTTCCAAGGGACCTTGTGTCCTGCTAATCATGCTAGTTAGTTACTTAATGTAAAATAATAATAGAACATTGAAAAGTTCAATGTTAAATATATGAATACTTGAGGTTCTATTTTAGATTCACTTTTACAAAACAGGAAGCTTGTTCATGATCCATGGAAGTTCTATACACAAAGCTAATGTTCCACCTATGGTCTGACCTTGGGTATGGTATATGAAAATAAACCCAATGATAATTCCTCTTCTGTCATCAGAGAATGTGCTTTTCCATATAAGCACATATAAGAATTTTGCAGATAATTTATGATTATATTTTTAAGAACCAAAATTTTTATTCTGAGTCATTATTAGGAAATATTATTTTGTTACACTAAAATATACCAAGGTATTCTTAAGGACTCTGAGCTGCTTTGAACCTATGGCCCTACAAAACTGTGCTCTCTGAATACTTTTGTGGTTTTTTATTACTTTTCTGTTATTTTCTTCTCTAAAGATTATTTAAAGTGGTCTGTGTTTAATTTGTGTTTCTCTGAGCATACCTACTCCTTATAGCCCACTTCCTAATCTATTGTGTGTGTACCAAAACCAGATAAGGAAGCTTATCAGAGATGGTTTGTTTTTTGTTGTTGTTTTAAATTTTTTAAATGTTTGTTTATTTTTAAGAGAGAGTGCAAGCAGGAGAGAGGCGAGGAGAGAGCGGGAGACACAGAATCCGAAGCAGGCTCCAGGTTCAGAGCTGTCAGCACAAAGGCCAACGCAGGGCTCAAAGTCATTAAATACAAGTTCATGACCTGAGCCGAAGTCAGATCCTTAACGGACTAAGCCACCCAGGCGCCCCCAGGGATAGTTTTTTTGAATAAAGAATAAATATGTGCTGAGTTAGGGCCTGAGTATCTCTCCTATGAATAAAGTATCTGAATTTTATTTGGCATATGGGCTATGTGAAATTCACTAACTAGCAAATATTTGTTGAGCACTTCCCCTATTTGTAAAACATGGTGGTAAATGTAGTTAATGGTTTGGAGGGAGAAATAAGGACTCGGTTTCACTTGTCTCTTTACTTCCTTCTTGGTTGTGTTCCAGAGAGTTAATGTTGCGAGACAAGCAGCCTCCACTCATGTGAATTCTCTGTTACCATAGAATAGGGGCAACTCAAGTGTGTTTAGGTGTCAGTTGTACTGAGGAATGTTTGACTTTGTCTACTTTTAGTAACCTCAGGAGTAGAAACTTCTTCTAATGAATCTATTATGAACATTCTGAACTTGAAAATGCAGGCAACTATTTTCTCAGTGATATAAGGTGAAAGGAAAAGAGATGGTGGGAAAGAAAGAAAGGCATTGCAGAGGTGAGGGGGTGCGGGCAGGTGGACTGCAGGCTTAGGTTGACCCTTGACTGGTGTGCTTCCAGGCACATATCCTCGGCTACTCAGTTTTCTCTGAGCCTCTGTTTGCACATTTGAAAATGCAAAACCCTGTCAATCTCCTAAAATTATACTTACAATGAGATAAGGAAGTTGAGAATGCTTTATAAACTGTTAAGTGTTTAAGCAGAAGGCGGCAGTCAAAGCAGTGGTGAGAAATGTGGAGTGAAGCTTCACTATGAAAGAGTCACTAAAGCCACGCTCTTTCCAGAAGGAGAGAGAGTGCAAAGGGCATTGGAAAGAAGACAAAACTGGTTGAGTGCTTTTGCTTTATGATACTATCATAGTGTGTGCCAAAACTATAAGCATTAAAAATTAATCCATACAGTAGTCTTTTAAGTGTGAACATTCCCAAAACTAAAATAAAAATAAGATTAGACAGGGGCACCTGGGTGGCTCAGTCATTTAAGCGTCCGACTTCAGCTCAGGTCATGATCTCACAGTTGGTGAGTTTGAGCCCCGCATCGGGCTCTGTGCTGACGGTTCAGAGCCTGGACCCTGCTTCGAATTCTGTGACTCCCTCTCTCTCTGTCTCTCCCCTGCTCATGTGCTCGCTCGCTCTCTTGCACTCGCTCACGCTCTTTCTCTCTCTCTCTCTCAAAAATAAACATTAAAAAAAAAAAAAGATTAGATCAAGGATATGGGGATGGGAGCAGAAATCTTTTGAACCAAAGCCAACCAACTCAATAGTTGACATGAGCCACACATAAAGCCGCACCAGGGACCATATTGGTATTCCATCTGCTTTCAGATTAGTCTCTTCGAGACACAGTACCAGGTTTCTGTGGGATATACAAAAAGACATTTCATGGAGTGGATTAAATGAGTTATTTGGTTTCTGCGATTCATTCTTAAAGAGCAAAGTACTTACCAGTTTTAATACTGTTTTCAAATAGACCTGGGACCAGTGTGAAAAGAAAATCAAGGAGCTGAAAAGCAGGCTGCAAGTTTTAAAGGCACAATGTAGAGATCCTCTCCCAGAACTTCATGAGGACCTCCATAAGGAAAAAGAGCTGATTAAGGTACTGAAAGCTGCAAAGTCGCATTCCAGATACTCACCTAGCGGTTTTGAGAGAAGTTGAAGTGTTTGCCTTTCTATTCTGTGTGGAAAATGTGTTTCCATGTTCCTTCAGAAAACATGTATAAATCTGAGAAAGGCTTTTGCAGAAATTCTTAGGAATTGGGTCCTCTTTCTGTTTGTTTCTCTCCTCTGGAATATAAGATGTGGCCTCTGAGATTATACTGAAACCCGTTCCCTTAACAAATGACCTTGTCTTTGAAATGAGAGTAAAGTATTATTAAAGAATTCCTTTTGTAGAGGCCAATAAATAGGTTGGAGTTTTTACTCAAATATCACATTTTTATAAACCCTTCCAAACTATATTCTGCCTAGTTGATACAGCTCTGGCAATCATTCGTGGATATTTTAGGCCTTTGCAGAAGAATGGATAAGAATTTGAACCAGTAAAATTCCCAGGTCAGGAACAACCCCCCCTCCCTTCCCTATCGGTAGGTTTGATCTTTTAAAAAACATCCAAAGCCTAATGGAATGGTTTTTAATCTTTTTTCTTCCTTCAATGATTTCAGGAATCAATTTGAAAAAAATTAGGAAGAAATAAGTAGTCCTGTATTGCAAGCTGTGGCAGAAATTAGAGTCCTTCGCCCTTCATCTTTTTTCTTCATTGTAAAACTTCCTAACGTGCAAAAAACTTCCAGCATAACAAATAATATGACACTACCATGAAACTGTCACCCAGCTAAAAAAATAAAACATTGCAAATACAGTTGAAATGTCCTGCATAATCTCCAACATACTTTCCCTTCCCAGAGGTACCCACAACCCTGAATTAGGTGTTTTATCATTCTCGTGCATTTCTTTATAGTTTTCCTACAAGTGTATGTAGCACTCAGTGAAATTAAACTTTATATGAGCAGTGCCATTATTCCATATTAAAGCCATAAGGTTACATTCCTACATTTTCTTCGTAAAGTTTTCAAATTTTGCTTTCTATATTTACGTCTTTATTCATTTAAGGATTGATTTTTGCATATGTTTTAAGGTAAAAGATCCAATTTTTAATTTACTCATATGGATAATCATATGGATGACCATTGCCCTGGTGACCATAGTTCAGTGTCACATATGAAGTTCCATATGTTTGCAGTTTTTCTTTTAGACCTCTATTCTATTGGTTTATTTACCTCAGCCTTTATAGCAAATGATCTTGATTACCATGCTTTATTATACCAAATCTTAATTTCAGGTGTGATGTGTATACCCATACTTTATTCTCCCATGTTAGTATGGATGTCCTTGGGTCCTTGATCTTCCACAACTTTAGAAGCAGTTTGTCAAACTAGGAAATGCCCTAATAAGAGTTTCAGTGGAATAGTATCAGATCTATAGATAAATTTGGGGAAAATAAACCTCTTTTTGACATTGAGTGCTCCTATTCTTGAATATGGCATGTTTCTCCTTTTGATTGTGTTCAATAATGACTTATAATTTTCTTCAGTACCACACATCTTTTGTTACATTTATTTCTTGCATGGTATTTTTGACACTATTGAAAATACTTTTCCTAAGTATATTTTCTATTTATCACTTGTGCCTAGAAATGATCATTTTTGATTCACATTATATTCAACCGTCTTGTTAAACTCTTTTGTTAATTCCAATAATTTGTCTATATCATCTTTTGGGACAGTCACCACCTGTAAAAAATTACTTTTTTAAAAAACTTCTTCCTTTTACTTCTATACTTTTTCCCCCTGTACTTTCTACACTGGTCAGTACTTCCAGAACATTTTTTAGTAGAAGAATCGATAGCTAGCTCCTGCATGTCATTCCTGATCTTAAGGAGAATGATTCTGACATTTTGCCATTAAGTATGGTATTTGCTGGCAATGGCTTTATTAGGTTAAGAAAATTCCTATTCCTAGTTTTCAACATTTTATTATCTCTACATCTTTAGGTGTAGATCTAGATTTCAGGGACAGAGGGATTTGGAGTCACTCTCTCAGTTGATGCATAGTTTCCTTCCATAAAGTCTAGAAACCAGGGCAGAATGTGAACTGTAAACTCATAAGAAGGCATGCTTTGTCCCAAGTGTCACACTCTTCAGTTTCCAGTGGGATCCTTTCCATTTCCACAGCCTCCATGTCCTACCTTTCAGTGGAAAAATCAGGAAGAGAGGCCAAGAGCATTGAGTTCATCGATCCCATGACCATATTCCAAAAAGAACTTGAGTAACCTGAAGCCTGTCTAGGAGAGTGCTTATCATCCCTAAATCACTTGGGAGAGATACACTCACCACTTGACCAGTCTGGGCTCTACTGTCCTCCTCAGAAGATTACATTCTCCTTACATTGCAGCTGACATATGGAATAGCACTTCACGACATACTAGCTTTTCACCTTTATGGACATCTGTGTTCACAAGACTTGTCAAATGATTGAGTCTGGGTGACAGTTTTATTTTTAAATTAATTTTTTAGTAAGATTGTCACATGGTTCAAAATTCAGAAGGTGCAAAAGGCATACATGAAAAATTTTTCAGTGTTTAATTTTGAGAGAGAGGGAGACAGGGGAAGTGGGCTTCACATGGACAGCAGCCAACCTATGTGGGGCATGAACTCACAAACCACAAGACCATGACCTGAGGAGAAGTCGAACGCCTAACTGACTGAGCCACCCAGGCGCCCCGAAAATTTTTTCTCCCACTGGTTCCTCTCCACAGACATAATCAATGTTAATCAATTTGTTGTGTATTCTTCCAAAGATATTCTATGCATATACAGGCCAATATTTATATATATACACATTCATTTTTTGGTCCTATTTTTACCCAAATGGTAAGGTAGAAAAATGGGACTTGACAATCCTGGTAAGTGAGTCCACAGGCACACTTAAAGCCACAGGCTTTAATGTTGCTCTGCTGTGTTAGAGTCCAGTTCATTTTATGTAATCAAACAACTAAATTTCACATCTCGTGTTCTATCAATGGGAATTTTACAGGTAATATAGACCATTTATCTGGTTAAATTGAGAAAAGGAAACTTATGTTCCCTTTGGCAGTTCTGATTTGGCGGCAACTCTGGAGTATTTTCATTTAAAGACAGAAGCATGATTTTTGAAATATTTGTACAAATAGTGATCAATCATAATAAACCTCCACAGTAGACCTCGCTCTATATATTCTTTGATGATTCCTGTTTTTCTCATTTTCTGAACATTTTAAAGCTCTTGAGACACTGTCAAGTTGTGTGTGTGTGAGTGTGTGGGTGTGAATAATTTTAAGCATGGTGAGTGTTAGGAAAAGGACAGGGGGCTACAAGAATGTAAGACAGGGGTCCCAATCTTGTCTGATGACTCAGAAAAGGCTCCTCTGAGGAATTATCCTTGTGTCTGAGATCCGAAAGTATAAATATGAATTAACTAAATATATTTGTGGAAGCACCAGGGTGAAGGAGTGGGTAGCATTTCAACTACGTAAAGAAATACAAATTTAAATAATCATTATGCATCTTAAATTTGTCCACTCTACATATTAAACTTGTCCAAATTTTAAACTTGTCCAATTATGCATATTTGTCCAAAGGTATGGTCCCTGTTACAGTCTGTAGCTAGTGAAAGTGTTACACACAGAATCTGTTCTCATCCACTATACTAGAATCATAAGGGTAAAAACTAGGTAACAAGAGTTTAAATGATTTTTCTTCTTTTTTTTTAAGTGCTTTAAAAAACATTTTTTTGTTTGTTTATTTCTGAGAGAGAGGGAGACGCAGTATCTGAAGCAGGCTCCAGGCTCTGAGCTGTCAGCACAGAACCCAGTGCTGGGCTGGAACCCACAAACTGTGAGATCATGACCTGAGCTAAAGTTGGACACAACCAATTGAGCCACCCAGACGCCTCTAAATGATTTTTCTTCTGATAAATATATTTCTGAATCTCCATGAAACCTTGTTTTTCAAATTTTTTTAATGTTTATTTTTGAGAGAGAGTGTGAGCAAAGGATGGGCAGAGAGAGGGCGACATCTGTGATCCGAAGGGGGGTCTGTGTTGACAGCAGTGAGCCCAGTGTGGGTCTCGAACTCATGAGTCATGAGATCATGACCTGAGCAGAAGTGGGACACCCAACCGACCGAGCCACCCAGGGGCCCCTCCCATGCAACCTTTAAAAAGAGTTCTGTGGGGGCACAGGGTGGCTCAGTTAAGTGTCTGATTTCAGCTCAGGTCATGATCTCGTGGTTTGTGGGCTCGAGCCCCGTGTCGGGCTCTGTGCTGACAGCTAGCTCAGAGCCTGGAACCTGTCTTTGGATTCTGTGTCTCCCTCTCTCTCTGACCCTCCCCTGCTCATGCTTTCTCTCTCTCTCTCAAAATAAATAAAATTTTTAAAAATTAAAAAAAAATAAAAAGTTCTGTGGGCCATTTTAGTAAATGTAAACTTCTGTCAGCAAGTTGTGCAGTCATGCCAATGTACTTTTTAGAACTCTGAAAATGAATCAGAATTAACACACTTCTAGTGTTGCCACCCCTCAGAATTATTTCTGATATCATTGAAATAGCCTCCTCTTTCTATTGCAATAGACAGGTATGAATGGAGACCCTTAAAACGTGCCAAAGAATGAAGAACTGTAAACATAGTAAAAACCTGGAGAATTCCTATGTTCGGGCTGTTTTCCTTTTACCTCCCCTGTTGTGAAAGCAATTTTAAGTCCTAGAATTCAGAAAGTTTACATTTGACACACTTTTAAAAATAATTGTTTCCATGACTAGAGATTTTCTGCTAACCATTTTCTGCCGAATATGAGGGGAGAATTTATTTTTTCTTCCATTATACTCATTTTTTGGGGAAGCTTAACCAAAATAATTCCCTTTGAACAGAAGCCGTTGTTATGATTGCCGTGGGAACAACAATGCATTTCTTAGGTTATTTTCTTTTTAAAGATGGGAAATCACACTTATACAACATTTCTGTAGCATTGTTTCAGAATTAAAAGTGTGTATGTGTGTCTGTGTGTGTGTGAGAGAGAGAGATTGTTGCTAGACTCCAAAAATAATTTCTTCTCAATAAAGGTAAAGACCTACATGACTTTAAAATAGAACTAATTCTGTAAAAATCAGAACTACCTGAGCAAATGAGAATAAAGGTAGGAAGGAATTTTCCTTTGAGGAAAGGGTGGGGAAGAACGGGCCAACCACAGCCGCCGCCACTGCCCTGGGCTGTTTCTCATTCAGAAGGTCCCGCCCCCTTCCCTGGCCTCCCCTCCCCCAGAGTCCAATCAAAGGATTAGCCTACAGGTTTGGAAACAACAGCAGCGTGAGTTGAAGGTTTTTTCCCCCACTTCTTGTGTTTAAATGCAGGAACTAGAGAAGTCTTTGGCCAACTGGACCCAGAACCTTTCAGAACTTCACACTTTGAAGACCGACTTAAGCCAGCACATTCTTGCGGAGGACGTGATGGTTTTGGAAGAGCAAACGGAGCATTTGCACAGACAATGGGAAGACCTCTGCTTGCGAGTAAGTCAGTTAACTGCAGGGCACGGATGTTCTGGAGTTTATTGAAATGTCTCCGAAGGCCAGACAAAGTAGAAAGGGGCTTCATTTCATTGAACCGGAGGCCCTTTTCAGTTGGAGCCTAGGCTGGCTGCTGTCCCTTTAGAAGGCAGCAACATGGTTAACAGATTTGACCCTTTGTTTCTCCAGGGCTCAGTGCTGTAAGTTTGCACACTTTTAATAAGCTTTTTAGAAACTCACCTTAAATGGGATGGGGGAGGGGGGAGAATCGCAATTACTGACAGCTATGAGCTCTCTGCTTTCTGTCTTATACACATGACCAGTACCCATCAGTATATTAGAATCAGGACTTCAGCAAAGAGGTCTCATCCGACATTAAGAGTGGTGTCTCTGAAGTATCTATCTGGGCCCAGTGAACAGAAAGTCTTACTTAGTGCCAGGCACGGGGGCATTTCATCCGAGAACTCTGTAATCACATGCAATCCGATGTTGCTTTCAAGTAGCTGGTTTTTTAAAACTCTCTAAAAGAAACTATCAACAGCTACACTTAGTATCTCAGTGGATCACTTCTTCTTAATAAAATTTGGATCACTGTTAGGGTATGATAACAGTACGTGTTTGTGACAGGATGGAACTAAAGGATTCAAAAAGAGCTTTGTTTTAAGTACATATAATCCTAAGAAAAATAAATTCCTTAATCTCATTTTTGTGCATTAAGAAATGTTTTTAAAAGGGGAAATTCACTTCTGAGTGCTTTTGAGTAAAGTAAAATCATTTTTCCTTGATTTTAGTATTTAATATTCACAATGAACCATAATTTTAAATGACCTCTTAGAATTTTTATTCATATTTTGTATAAAAGAAAATATTTAGAGTATGTGAAAAGCATCCTAAAACTTAAGGTAGAAGTGGGAGATTGGGAACCAGATGTTCTTAATTGTTACCGTTAGGAAACCAATCAGAACCGTGCTGTGCAAAATGCCAGGATTTTAAAAAGGCTAAGATAAATAGATGCCCTGAGGATGGAAACACAAAATTTGTTTTTTAGGGATAGTTCTTTGAGCCTTCTTAACACATTTGGCTGGGTGGATGTATAAGTGTTAGTATTTTTGCCTCACTCTGAAAAGATTACTTGTTTTCATTGTACACAGCAGGAAAATCTCTGGGAGTTCTACCTTAGTTTCCCCATCTGTAAGGTGGGGTGTTACAACTTTATCTGGGGCACCTGGGTGGCTCAGTCAGTTGAGCATCCGGCTCAGGTCATGATCTCACAGTCGTGAGTTCGAGCCGGGTGTCAGGCTCTGAGCTGTCAGTTTTGAGCTGCTTTGGATTCTGTGTCGTCTTCTCTGCCCCTCCCTCTCTCATGCTCTGTCTCTGTCTCTCTCAAAAATAAACACTTAAAAAAAAAAAAAACTTTATCAAAAGAACTCTTAACTACTTCTTTTAACCCTAAGATTCTAAAGACTTTTAAGAGCTGAGATACTTGTGTACATTTAGAAAGTCTGATTTGCATTCTTTAAGTTGTAAATTCCTTTAAGGAGGAAGTCTGCTTAGGGGTTGCTAGTGCATAATAGAGCATTGGGTTTTTGGGGTCAGCCTGATCACTACAGACCAGTATTTGGTTCTACTTCCATACTTCCCATCCAAAGCCAGAGGGCATAATGGAAGGTGGATTAAATGAGTGGTATGCATTTGTTTTTTTATTTTACTTTGCTTTTATTTTGGAAATCTACCGCTAAAATAGTGAAATAATTCTGTAGTCCATTTGCATTATAAATGTTAAATTAATGTTTTGATCTAGATTTATAGTTTTCAAGTTGAATAAGCAGGATATTGGCCTCAAGTAGAAATAAGGAATTGATACTTTTTAAAAAGGTAAAAGATTTGGGAGTACCTGGGTAGCTTAGTCGGTTAAGTGTCCAACTCTTGGTCTCAGCTGAGGTCTTGATCAGGGTCATGAGTTCAAGCCCCATGTTGGCTACATGCTGGGTGTAGAGCCTGCTCTTAAAAAAAAAAAAAAAAAAAAAAAGTAAAAATTTGGGTCATAAAACTGTAAATTAGCATGTAGCAATCCTTCAATAAAGGTATATTGAAAGAATAAGGATCAGAAGAAATTTGGATGATGTTTACTATATCTAACCTTTCCTACTTAATTTTTAATATAACCTGGTAATAATAGATATGCATTGGATAAAACTGAATTCTTTCGGTCAATTATGCTTCAGACATAATCTTTATTTTGTTGCTTTTTGTGGCATTTATCAAAGGTGTAACTGTTGATGTTGAACCCTAGGTATTAGGTAAACAGTGATTGGAGTCTATAGGGTTACTGATTAAAATGAATGAAATTCAGTCTTTTTAATGGGGGGAAGGAAAAGGAAATACTTTCCTTCCTGCCAATTCTCAGCTGCCAAATGCATTTTCATTTCCAGGTGGCTATACGCAAACAGGAGGTTGAAGACAGACTCAATTCATGGATTGTGTTCAATGAAAAAAATAAAGAGTTGTGTGCGTGGCTGGTGCAGATGGAAAACAAAGTTCTACAGACAGCAGATCTTAGTATTGAAGAAATGATTGAAAAGTTACAGAAGGTAAGCAGGAATACCCAGATGGACGGCCGCGGAGTTCTCTGCCTTCATTCCCAGGTGCGTGGCGGTGTAACACATTAGATATGTTTTTAATAACATTGCAGAAATGTGAAGGACATTCTTGCTATCTTTAGTCCTTCGCAGAGCAAAGCTGGTAAGTGATGATTCCAGAGAGGTGGGAAGTATGGGACCATGGTAGGAAGGCGTGAGGCTTGCCATGCCTTTCTCTCGGGGAGTCTGGCCAGAGCCGGGCTCTTGTCAGCTTCAGCATTAGTTCACGTGCCAATCGACTGTAGCTTCTCTGGCTGCTGCTATGAAGGCGTTCCCATCACCAAAGGGAAGAAGCCAACAGCAACTTTTGAAGTGGCCATCCGCCCCTACAGGGAAATGGCTTCTTGCTGCGGTCACCCAAAATGCCACTCAGTTACTTCAGGAAAGCTCCTACTGATACCAGGCTAATTTAGTTATGCTCCAGTGTCCTTGGTGACCAAATAGGTTAGATTAGAACAAATCTGGGAGGAGAAGCCAGGGCTATTGAATTAAGCAATTAAATATTAGAGCGGCGCCTGGGTGGCTCAGTGGGTTAAGCATCCAACTGCGGCTCAGGTCATGATCTTGCTGGTCCTGGATTTGAGCCCCGTGTGGGGTTCTGCATTGACAACGCAGAGTCTGCTTCAGATCTTCTGTCTCCCTCTCTCTGCCCCTACCCCATGCATGCTCGCTCGTGCTCTCTCTCTCTCAAAAATAAATTTTTTTTTTTAATTTGTTTAAAAAGAAAATAACTACTGGCGCACTGGGGTGGCTCAGTCGGTTAAGCGTCAACTTTGGCTCAGGTCATGATCTCACTGTTTCCGAGTTCAAGCCCTGCATTGGGCTCTGTGCTGACAGCGCAGAGCCTGGAGCCTGTTTCAGATTCTGTGTTTCCCCTCTCTCTCTGCCCCTCTCCCGCTCTGTCTCTCTCCCTCTCAAAAATAAACAAATTTTTTTTTTTTAAATATAACTACTGCCTTACATATCACACATGTGCCAGGTGAGTGCTCTTTGACTTTTCGCTGTTCACTGAAGAGTTGCATGACAGGTGAGAGAAGTCTTTGAATTTGTTTTTGAAATTTTTTTTAATGTTTTATTTATTTCTAGGAGAGAGAGAGAGAGACAGCGTGAGCACGGGAGGATCAGAGAGAGAGAGGGAGTCACAGACTCTGAAACAGGCTCCAGGCTCTGAGCTGGCAGTCAGCACAGAGCCCGACGCGGGGCTCGAACCCACAAACTGCGAGATAATGACCTAAGCGAGGAAGTCGGACGCTTAACCGACTAAGGCACCCAGGCGCCCCATGAATTTGTTTTTGAATTTGAAGAGGCAGCCGTATGTTTGTGAGTGGTGAAGAACTGCATTCCCAGTAGTAACTGAGGCTTTGTGTTTTGGTGCCTTTGCCAGGACTGCATGGAAGAAATAAACTTGTTTAGTGAAAACAAGTTACAGCTGAAGCAAATGGGTGAGCAGCTGATGAAAGCCAGCAACAAGACCAGAGCAGCTGAGATCGATGACAAGCTCAGCAAAATCAATGACCGCTGGCAGCACCTTTTTGATGTCATTGGATCAAGGTGAGAAATGGCCGGAAAGTTACTCTTATTTCCTAGGGACAGTGGTTCCTTCGCAACATCTAGAAACTAAGCTTAGCCTTCTCTAAGGCAGCCTCGCAGCTTCATAAACTCAGAAAGGCAACAGTTGGTCCAGAGAGGTGAGAATTCTTATTTCAGCCTCTTAGGAAGATTCTATTTTAATCTATCATGGTTTAATATTTTTTTCTTTAGCTTAAAATTTCTTATGAAGTTAGGTTTGAATGAGAGTTGGAGATTTAATTGGAGCAGAGATCCTGGAGAAAGTATTATTTAGAAATTTTAAATCTAGTTTGGTACTTGCATGTCCCCCAGATGAGATCATCTCGGCCTGTTCCTGCTTATGCGTAGGTGAAGGCAAGGAGGTCTGTTTCTAGATGCTCGTCTTCAGGCCCCAGTGGGCATCTGGTCCTAAGATGTGCACCTAGGAGGCGTGTCTGCAGCCACAAATCATAGCTATATTTTCTAGTGCAACCTTATGAAAAATAAGACTGGTAATTTTATCTCTCTTCACAGAATAATGAAGGTGACACCACCCTGAGCTTTTAAGTGTCTTTTGGTCTTCAGGTTTTCTCTCCAAATACAGACCCAACTAAAGTGTTTTTCACGTGTGACCTGGCATGCAAAACATGAGACCACTCATGAAGCTTTGTGTTTACACTGGCCGAGTGAGTCTTTTACATAGCAGTATGCTCAGATATTTGGAACACGCATAAGATGCAGAATATACAGGAGAGCCTGTAAGGAGAATAAAGAATTAGGGAGTCATGAAAATAAGATGCTCTTAATAATTTGGCATTTATTTCCTTGACCTCACTGTTTACTATAAACCGTAAGTGAGGCTGATTCGGTCAGCAGGGGCACCAGGCTAAGGGCTATGAGAGTTACAGACAGGAAGTAATATGAGTCAATTACATTAATGGGAGCGGACATCTGAGCAGCTGTAAAGCCAAGTGGTTTGAGAGCTCCAAGCTCATCTTTCTGGAGTGGGGGCGGGGATTAGGAGGAGCCTTTCAGAAGAGTGGTGTTCCCAGATGGTCCTGAGTGATGGGTTGGGATCCCTGAGTGTTACTGGTGGCAGAGACCGTTATGTTGTGAGCAAAAAGGGATCAAGCAGCATGGAAGTCTTTCGGGAAATGACAAGAAGTTCCATTGGCTCAAATATAGGAGATGAAGCTAGAGAGATAGATCAGGGCTGATGCTTAAAAGACCTTCCATCTCAACTGAAGACTTGGCCTCCTAAATAAAGTCTGAGTCATTCATGGTTCATTAGCAGTGGAGGGTTTGCTGAAACAAACATCAGGGTGATTTGGCTGGCGGCATAGACTGGGCTGAATTCAACTTGTCTTTATTGCCCGTTGAAAAAACAATCTGTAGAAATCCATGGTGGTGATCCAAATAAGGATTAAGGGCACAGATTTTGAGCACATCCTGACTTTCCCACTTACTCACGGTGAAAACTTGAGTAGTATCTAACCTTTATTTTTTTAATGTTTGTTTATTTTGGGGACAGAGAAAGAGACAGTGTGAGTGGGGAGGGGCAGAGAGAGGGAGACACAAAATCCGAAGCAGACTCCAGGCAGGCTCCGAGCTGTCAGCACAGAGCCCAGTGCGGGGTTTGAACTCACAAACTGTGAGATCATGACCTGAGCCGAAGTCGGACGCTGAACCAACTGAGCCACCCAAATGCTCCATATCTAACCTTTCTGTGCCTCAGTTTCCAAATCTACAGACTGTGTCTAATAGCACTGCTCACACCAGAGGCTGCTGTGTTTGAATAGGATGTGTGTCACATGTGCCCCAGAACCAGCCTATAGGAGCCAGCACTTCCTGAGCAGCTGTTATCATTGTTCTCCCCTAAGAAGACTCTAAAACAAAGCAGTATGTGTGTTAAATGGGCGAGGATTCCCTCAGTTGTGTCTCATACTAAGAGGTCTTCCATGAGACCAGCATCTTTGACTATCTTGTTTCCAGTGCTTAGAACAGTGCCTCAGAGAGGCACCTTGGGTGGCTCAGTCGCTTAAGCGTCCCACACCTGATTTTGGCTCAGGTCATGATCTCCTAGGCTCTGAGGAGCTGGGCATGGAGCCTGCTTAAGATTCTCTCTCTCTCCGGGGTGCCTGGGTGGCTTAGTCGGTTAAGCGTCCGACTTTCGCTTAGGTCATGATCTCGCAGTTTGTGGGTTCTAGCCCTGCGTCGGGCTCTGTGCTGACTGCCAGCTCGGAGCCTGGAGCCTATTTCAGAGTCTGCGACTCCCTCTCTCTCTGACCCTCCCGTGCTCACGCTGTCTCTCTCTCTCTCTCTCTCCTAGAAATAAATAAAAATATTAAAAAAAAAAAAAAAGATTCTCTCTCCTTCTCCCTCTGCCTCTCCCTCTGTTCCTCCCTGGCTCATGCTGTCTCTCTTTAAAAAAAAAAAAAAAGTTTCTGTTATTTGTTGACATGAAAATTCCAATGCTTAAGAATGGGATCATTTCTGTTGGGTAAATTGTGTCTAGTATGTCTTTGTTGACATCGTCTATATATCCTAAGTTTTCTTGAGCACCTGGCGCTAATCGAGGGTATGATATCCGACCTGTTTATGGATCCTTCAAGAGCAAGGTCTAGATCATGCTTCCTGAAGACTAGATTGACAGTCCATTCTTTTTTTCTTTTTTAATGCTTAATTAGTTGAGAGGGGAGGGGCAGAGAGAGGGGCAGAGAGAGAATCCCATGCTCTACCCTGTCCACACAGAGCCCACATGAGGCTTGAACTCATGAACCACAAGATCATGACCTGAGCCAAAAATCGAGAGTCAGATGCGCAACAAACTGAGCCACCAGGTGCCCTGCCAGCTATATTCTTGACCATGTGCTTTTTACATATGATTTCACTTAATCTTCATGATAATTCTGAAGGACAGATACCATTATCCCATTTTACAGATAAGGAAACTGAGAAATTGAAGGTAAGGGACTTGACCATAATTCCATAGCCAGCATGGGAGGCACCAGGATTTCAGCTCCTGGTGGTGTGGTCTCCCTGGACACTTCTGGTTTGTAGTGAATAGAACATAATGAGAGCCTAATCCCTTCAAACCTGGAGGACTTGGGAGGGAGCCATTTCTCTTCTCTTAAAGCAAAGGCCAAGTGAGACAGATGGCTGAGAGCCTAAGAAGCTCCGAGCTGGGTTTACCCTGCAGGTGAGTTTGTGGGTTGAGGCCACAAGCCGAGACCTGCCATAAATTAGCCTCCCGTGAAATTAGCTCCATGTCTGACCTCGGACACTGATTCCACGCTGGGGACCACACACAGGTGTCATGCCGGGGAAAGGGGTCGGGGACACAGGCTGCAGACGTTAGATTTGAACAGTGCCAAGCACAACCTTTAGCCCTGCAGGATGCACAAACGGCCTCATTTGCCCACAGAAGTCTGGACACCATTCAACTTTTTTTGTCCTACCCATCGTATCTGCTGCTTCCCTCCCTATAGTAGGAGCAACATCTCCTACGTAAGATTTGGAGGGAGACCCTACCTAGGTACCCAGCCATGTGATTTCAAGGTTTTAACTACAAGCATTTAATTTCAAAGTTTAGAATGGTGTTTAAAAGTCTGTGACCTCAGGGGGCACCTGGGTGGCTCAGTCAGGTAACTGTCCAACTCTTGATTTCGGCTCAGGTCATGATCTAGAGGTCATGAGATCGAGCCCGCTTCAGGCTCCTGCTTGAGATTCTGTCCCTGTCTCTCTGCTTTTCTCTCTCTCTTCTTTCTCTCTCTCTCTCTCTCCTCCCCTCCCCCTCTCCAAAACAAAATAAAATCTTAAAAAAATAAATAAAAGTCTATGTCCACAGTAAATCAGGTTTAATTCGATGAAAAAAAAAATTTTAAGAGCTCTTGTTTTGGGTATGTTCTCAGCAAAACAGAGGTAAATTTCAAAAGACTCATTAAAACATTACGACACGGTTACCTAAAAGCATTAAATTTATAACCATTTCAAGTAGTAGGCTTCATTACGGAATGGATAGGAGAAGTCAGTGTTGTTTTGTAAGTGCCAGGTTCCTTGTATAAATCATTTCATTCTTTTCTCAAAATTTTTAACATTTATTTTTGAGAGAGAGCCAGCACAAGTGGGGGAGGGGCAGAAGGAGGGAGACACAGAATCTGAAGCAGGCTTCAGGCTCTGAGCTGTCAGCACAGAGCCTGATGCTGAGCTCGAACCTACAAACCGCGAGATCATGACCTGAGCGAAAGTCGAACGCTGAACCAACTGAGCCACTCAGGCGCTTCTAAATCATTTCGTTTTTGCATAATCCTGGAAGGTCAGTATTCTCCATTTTACCGAGAGGGACGCTGCAGGTCAGAGAGGGTCAGTAACTGACCCAAGGGCAGAGGCGATGCTGCACAGGGTGGGGATGAAGCCAAGGTCTGCCTCTCGTGCTACACCATGCAGCGAAAGAGCACTTGGCTCCTTTGAGAGCTGGCTCTTAAAGGTAGTTTGTTAGAATTTTTGTAACATGTGGAACGCAGTGTGAAATTTACGGTCTACTCCAGCGCAGTGGTTCTCACACTTAAACATGCATCAGGATCCCGAGAGGGTTCATGAAAACATGGGTTGCCGGACCCCACCCACAGAGCTTTGGATTCTGTAGGCCCCATTCCGGGTGGGGCCAGGAATGTGCATTTCTGCCACGTACCTGGGTACTGCTGGTGGTGCTGGTCTGGGGAACATAGAGTTGGAGCAAGCAGCAGGGTGAAGTGACGCGGTGCTGCATCAGGAGCCCGAGACCCTGGACCTGCCACCGACTGTGAACAAGTCCTGTGACCTCTATGAGCCTCCGTGTCTTTGTTGATAAACTCGGCACATGATCCTGGATGGGAGTGCAGCAGGACAGCTATGGGTCCCTCTGGACAAATAGCAATTTGCCTGTGGTGCAGTGCATTGTGGGTACATGGTAATGGAAGCGGGGGAAACAGCCTTAGATCCAAACCACTGTTCTTTCTCTACTT